TAAGAAACAGGATTTTGCTCTACAAAGTAATGTTAATTTATATTAAAAATAATTGAAGCAATTCAGTTACAGTTCTATGAAGCTCAAAGATGAAGCAGAAAACACCAGTAGAAATTGGTTATTAACTACTTTACCCCACCTTAAAAACAGTATTATTTGCAAATTTGGAACGTTCAGATGCTGAATTATGCTAAACCAGAGAGGAAACATGGAGCAAAATTACTTACTTTCTGTGATGAAAAGAAAGCTGAGAAGGACGAAGCTGGTGAATGGCTTCATCATGGAGAACCAGCAAAGGTATTGTTAGAGAAAACAACTGTCATTTACGCTCTAATGCTTATTCAGCATAGTTAATCCTCTCTAGAGGATCATGTAGATGCTAAATGCTGCAGGATATACTAAACTTATCTGGCTTTTTCTGGCTATTCTTCAAGTCAGATGTATTTCTCCATATCTGTAGCATTCTCAAGAAATACTTTTATCAACTCTCTAAAAGGAAACACCTCATCTGCCCAAATACCCACATTAACCACCATTTTCTAAAAACAATGCAGTACTAATTGGCATTTTATGGGGGTATATAAACATTTTCAGATTAAATACAAGATTCTTAGTTTGCTGAGGTGTTCAGTGCTCATCTCATTCTAACAGATCAGCCGATATGTGAGAAGTCAGAAAGGTCACTGTTCATTTTCTACTAAAAGGATTGCTGCAAAATGTAGATCCATTGTGACAAAATCAGCTGTTGAATTCATCATCCATTTTACTGCTTTATTGTGAACTGAGTGTTAAGCTCACGTATACTCTATAAGTATATATAAGAATAAGAAGTAAGAATAAGTACTCTAGTTTTAAATCATTTATTCATGAAAATTAAGCATTTAAAGAGGAAGAATGGTCCATGTGCATTCATTTGGAACTACAGTACAAAGCATGGAGCTTGGCAAGTAAGATGAAGGAATCAAGGATTCTGACATCAGGCTTACTCTGAAAGGCACAATTTATGATGGTCAGTGTAAGCTGTATACAGTGGCAAAAACTGAAGCATTCCACATCTGTGTGGTCACCCCAAATTAGTTATTGTGATAAAGACACATGACTTAAGAGAAGTACTTTTAATGTGGTTCCCCATTTTGGTGCTTAGTCTAGCACAATCTTCATCTTATTGCTGATTGTTTTTGCAGCAAAAGCGTTATGATGCAGAAAGTAATGTATTGTTATGACTATTTAGTTTTTAAAACTAATGATGAAAATCTTTTTAGTGACCCAGTACTTGGAAGAAGTACCATCTCTATAAATTTCTACACAGAATTTCCAGGACAAGCTAACACATTCCAAGTAGTTAGATAAGGTAGTATGAGTATGTTGAGCCTCAAGTTCTCTACAATATTAAAAACTGTTCTACTATTTTACAATTATGAATGTGATGAATAAATACGACTAACTGAGCTTTCATCCAATACCTCTTTCATTCATTTATGTGGATTGCATACATTTCACTCTTAAAAAAACACTACTAAAATAGCAGGTTTCTTCAGCTATATCTGATATTCTGTTTTAGTAAATTTCAAGCTCTGTCACTTTCTAGAATTTAAGCATCCAAGTAGGCCTGATGTTTATCACCATAAATGATAGATTCTGGAGTAGGACTGAATTCATCACTACACTAAGTAAATCTTGTTGCTCAAAAAGTGTCTGGATGGATTTTTAAAAAGCATTTATCTATTTCAATTTACCACTACTTAGCTCCAAAACAACTCTGCACAACTCACAATATAATGAACAACAAAAACACAATACAAAAAAAGAAGATGGGATCTGGTCACTCTGTACAGAACTCCTGAGTCTTGCTTATTGTGGGACAACAATTTTCTTTTTCACTCATACTTTCCACCTTTGTTGTTTTGTCCTTATCATTGTCACCTTCATATTTTCTGTTCTTACTGAAAAACATATCCATTATGATTTTTATGGCAGGACATGGTGTGCACTTCCAGATGCCTTCTCCAATGTCCAATGCAGCGTTTCTCAACCTTGGCAACTTGGAAATGTGTGGACTTCAACTCCCAGAATTCCCCAGCCAGCCATGCTGGCTGAGGAATTCTGGAAGCTGATGCCCACACATTTTCAAGTTGCCAAGGTTGAGAAACACTGGTCTAATGGATGGACTGTGCTACCCTTCAGGGACCATCAAACTTTCAGTTGTTACTTGGGGATAATATCCCTATTCTGGATATCTTGAGAGAAAACTTTTCCTCATACAGGGGACAGCTGTAAAGTTTTTAACTAAAGCTGAGCTTGTCAGCAAATTCACCTCAAAGCACCTAAAAATCCAAAATCCTTTAAAGCCAGACATTTACAATAGCTTGTATCAGTCCTAGCATCATTTGTACAAGCATTCACAACAAAAGTCACATTTATTTTGTACTAGTAGATTTCTTAATACATAACTTAGGATCTAGTCATTAGAATTTTGTATAAAGTACGCCTGGAGATCTCTATAGCACCCCAATGAAATAACAGAATAATATATAAAAAGCTGATGCTAATGAATAATAGTTTTAGACTGATCTTTAACCTCCTAGTCATAATCTGAAACCACTTTTCAAATTGGAAGGGAAAAATTATTTACAGTAAGCATCACAGAGGCAAACATCTTAATTTTTCAAGTTTCCATTTTATTTTACAAATCAGAAAATGCAGATCAAATTTACACTCCTTAAGGCAAGAGTCCCCATGCATGTAATACACATTTATATTAAATCCAAAAAAGACATCCAACATGGGAACTCATGTACAAAGGGAAGGCTAGGATGAGCAACTGTAATTTATTAAAGAACTTGACAAATCTCCCTGATACAGGAACTTTTGAGATCAACTTGCTATGAATTATACAAAGGAAAGAATTGCAGACAATAGCAAGGATTTCTGATAGTCTTAGTACTGCATACAATCAAATCAACATTATTAAGAAAAAATACAGTAGTGCATACAAAAAAGTGAAAATAGATTCCGTTCACATCACTGCCTGGATATCACTGTGCCAATGGTCATATTGCACTCAAGATTGTAATTTAGGGTTTTGGTTAAAAGTTAGCTTTTCCCCATTTTGGCAATCAGTTCATCACAAATCTTCGTCAACTCTTCTATTTCTTTATTCTAAAAAAAAAAAAAACCACACACATACAAACAGAAGAGAAGATAAACATATTTTAGTAAAAAGGTATATTTACACCCTTCCTTCATTATCAAAATAACATTTGTTGCCATTAAGAATATAGTACATGCTCTGGGGGAAGAGCAAAATCTGTCTGCCGTTATGCTGAATCAGCAGCAACAGCAATCAGTTCTGCTGTACCAATCACTTTAGCTTCATCTCACCACTGTGGAACCTTTCAGGAAAATATTTCATTTTTTTACATTACCTTATACCTGGATCTTTCCTTAAAGATTCAAATCATTCTGAAAGGGTAAACAACTGCCTGTCAGAAGCCAGATTTCTGCCATCAATAGGCTAAGCAGTGTTTCTCAACCTCAGCAACTTTAGCTTCATCTTAAGATGTGTGGACTTCAACTCCCAGAAAAACATCTTAAAGTTGCTGAGGCTGAGAAATACTGGGCATACATGGGTTATGGCAGGAGTGAGCAATCTGGTATTTTAATTTGTTTCATTAAGAGCAGATAAATAGTATGATGGTGCAATGCTTTAGATTTGATGTCCAATAGGCCTTTGAATTGGGAGGGAGCATGAACATACTGCCTACCTACAATGCCTTAAAACTTCTGCACTGGTTGTGGGAAAAGACCCAGCTGCTTTAAAGCACCGCAGAAAAGTGTTCTATTCACATGCCCTCCTATTCCAACATAGTTTTTGGAGACCGAACATGAAGTGCTGCACAGCCCTAATAGACATTAAATAAGGTACTAAGTCTACACGCTCCTTGAACTGCCCCAAACACACGGTGAAGTCTGAGCTCCTCTCCCTCTAATATTACTGCATCACCACCACAGACTATACTGAACTGTGGAGGCAGAGCCACCACCAGGACCACAAAAGCAGTTTAAAGACTTCTTGAAGTTTTTAAGGAAGACACCCTTTGATTGCAAAAAGATTGCTGGTTCCTCATTTAAGTGAACTGATGTATCTGACCTAGGGAACAGCTACCAAACACAATACTTCCTCTACAAGCAGCTTTGTCATACAGTTCAGAGCTAGTCACCTTTTGTTCCAGTGTTCTTTCCAATGCATCCACTTTTAACTGCTCTTTACGAAGGCTGGCTTGGTAAGCTGCTTGTTCTTGCTGAGCCTTGCCCCGAACTTGTGCAATTTCAGCATTGGCTCTGCAGAAACACAGGTCATAATATTGAGTGCCAAGGAACCTCTCTTGCTTTTGAAGTCTTTCACTCCGTCCGCTTAATAACCTGTGAGATCACTTAATGACTGCAACCGGGAGTGCCTGGATTGCAGTCGTTGAGCGAAGCAGTCGCATGAGTGTCTCACTGAATGACCACTTTGCTCAATGGCCAAGATTCCGATCCCAATTGTGGTTGTTAGGCAAGGACTACCTGTACCAGGATTCTGTAATTGTGTTATACTTATATCAGACTTGATGTGTGATGCAGAACTGAACCTTCACTGAATTTTTTTAAAAGTAGCTTTTTTGGCTATGAAAATGGAAGGGAGCCTTGAGGAGGCTAAAGAATTTCCCAAGGAATCAGGTCTTTCTTAAGCAACAGAATATATTTTACAGAACTCAAATTAAAATTATATGGCAGTACTGACAAGAATCTGATGGAAACAGAAAACTTCAGAATTAGAGCAGAAGTCTTTTGTTGAAATTCAGGATTCCTCCCAAGCCCTAATAATACCTGTCCAGTTTTTCCTCTGCATGAACCTTGAGGGCTTGATATCTCTGCTCTTCTTTTTTAACTCGTGATAAATATTCTTGTGCACATTTCTTTAATACTTCTTCATTCTTTAATGGGAAACATAAAAATAGTTTAAAAACTATTTAATGGGTTCATGTTAAGTTTCAGGCTTTTGATCATATTCCACAATTTTAGGTAGCAGATCATTTTCTTGAAAGCAAACACAGAATTAGTAGATTTACTTAAAATAAGACAAATATATATGCTAAGTAACCATCTCAGTGTTAGAAGGTTGGGGCATGTAGACATTTTTATATATTAAGATATAAAAATGTCTACATGCCCCAACCTTCTAACATCAGTATGAGTTCTACAGGCCATGCATGGCATATGAAGTTCAACCAGTCTAAGACTCCCTTTTCTGCAATATCCAGTGTCTATAGAAATTGCTGCTTCAGCTTTTTGGCATGTACACATGATTGCTTTTAAAATGCCGTGAATGAGAAAAATAATCAATTAAGGGAAAATTAATCCAAGCTAGATCTTTTACAGGAGTCAGGGAATATGATATAATGCATTCTTGCACACTGATGTAAAAAGGTGACTTTGGCTGGTCTCAGTGCTGTCACCTACTTTTACTAGAGCTAGGTGGCAGCACATAAGCTGACTTCCAGGGTGATGTGTGTTGGGTTATTAGATTAAGGGTTGTTGCTGTATAAAGCTGTAACAAATGGGCCAGATGTGGTTACAAATGCTCTGTAAGAAGAAGCATTGAGGTTGGAAAGGAAGGTTGAGGCCTGGAACATCCAAGAAGAATTCTTATCCCCAAATCCCTGAGTGGAGGGACTTCATCTTCAGCCAAAAGCCTGCCTTCCTGTGGATGTGGAAATCAGGCCCTCCACTGAAATGAACATAAAAGTGTAGCCACAGTTCCAGACCTATATGTGCATCTTAGTGAATGTGGGCATTTTGATGAAAACATTATTCATTGTAACCTACCTTCCTAAATCCTTCAAGAACTTCTTTCATTTTTTCGTATCTTCTGAAAAGATCCGCTAGAGATTTTTCCACAGAGTTCAGGTCAGCTAATGCTTGCTCTTTTTCCATAATAAGCTGCTGGACAGTGTGATGGGACATGGATTTTTCTCTCTGCTCATCCTCTATAGGAGACAATGATTAAAAGGCCCCAAAATAATGAATAGTTTTAAAACTTAGTATTCTAAAGTTATGTTAAAGCATGGAGATGCAATCATGCAAAGTATAATGAAGGGGACACGTTTGCCTGGTAAATCTGGTCAGCATTTAAAACATTGTTTTATTATGGGGATAACTAATTTATCACACCATTCAAAACTGATATATTAAATAGGGCAATGGACCCTGACTTCTTGTCCTTTACAAGTAAGTATTCAGAAGCAAGTACTCAGCACAAAGAAAAGTTCTTATATGGGAATCACATTGCCAGAAACTTGCAGCCTAGTTTTATTAATTCAGCAAAAATAAGAAGTTTGAATCAATGTAAAATAAGCTCATCTTGGCATCCAAAAACCTGCCATTAGACTGGGCAAACTTAGAATTATTTCAATTAATTGAAAATTTTAATATATCAAATCATATACTTCACTTTATAAAACGGCACTTCAGCCCTAAAACAAAACAATCCTTAAAGAAAAGAGCAGACAAAACCATACAAATAATTATAATAACTTCAGAAGAATCCTGCCAGATCAGACCATTCATACTAGCCATACTATTCTGACTGATTCTGGAAACGCTGCAGCCATCACAAGTGGTCATTAAAAGCTTGATCCTGCATCAATTTATTTGATCTGCATCCCTTAAACGCATCTGTCAGTGGCCCTTAGTAATCTTGTAAAAGTGATTCTGTAGTTTAGCTATGAGCCTTGCAAATAATTTTTTCGCTCTGTCTTGCCTGAATTTCCCACTACTCAATTTCATTGGATGCTTAGCTGTCAGAGTTCTCCCTCTCCACTTTCTCCACAGCATGCACAAGTTTATGTATTTGTACAATTTCCCCTCTTTTCTGCCTGTTTTCTAATATTCTAATACAGCTTTCCCCACCTGCTAGTGTTTGGGAATGCAACTCCCCCAAATCTGAAGTCATGCCAGATTTTTCAATCATTCCACTTTAAAGATCATTACCTTTTACATTACAGACATGTTATTATCAAGTGTCCACTTTTCTCAGAGCTGTAGGAAATCAGAGCTTACATACTGTAGCATGTGAACTGTGAAGAGCTCTGGTTGTATGTTATTTTTAGATGCACATGCATAACATTCATGCATGCATCACTGCAATATACTATAAAGCAGTCTTAACTTTATGCTGAACCAATTATTTGTGTTATTGCTTCTCTAAAAGCAATTCTATCAATAAAATCAATACAGGTAGTCCTTGTTTAGAGACTGCCTCATTTAGTGACTGTTTGCAGTTACGACAGTGATGAAAAAGTAACTTTATGACCAATCCTTGCATTTATGATCTTCGCAGGTCTATAAAGCAAAGGAAGCCTGAAGTAAGAATATAAGCACAGTTGTGATTTCACTTAGTGACTGCTTCGCTTAATGATTGAGTTGCCAGTCCCAACTGTGATCACTAAATGAGGACTACCTATCTGGCAACATCAGTTAGAAGCCACTTATTCTTTTACTAAATTAATTTTAGTAAATTTTCAAAGTGGAAGTTACTTCTAATTGTTCTTAAATCTAAGGATGCCCGAAGAAGTCATTCTGCCAGTATTCCATTTTTTACTCCACAATAGTACAAAAACTATGGAAAGAAAAAATGAAAGAAGAAATGAGAAAACATGGAATAGCTCCAAATGGATAAGTGTCTTTCAGACTGCTGTAAAATTCTGTGACAGCTGGGTGAATTTGGACCAGTCGCTTTCTCTCAGCCCTAGGAAGGAGGCAATGGCAAACCACTTCTGAAAAACCTTGCCAAGAAAACTGCAGGGACTTATCCTGGCAGTCTCTGAGAACTGGACACAATTGAACGGACTAAAAAAAAAATTCTGTGACTGAGGAAAAGTGATTCTGGGGGGAAAAAACCCCAAAACATGGCTAGAAGCAGTTTTACAAGTAAGCAACATACAGTTTGTCACTACTACTTGTTTATAATTTAACATGAATATACTAAGCACTTGCATGTTCAATATTTGTTCTTTCAGGCATAGCATCAACTGAATGTGCCATTCTTCTAATGCATTCTTCTAAGTATTGATTTGCACATATCCCTCTAAGCAGGACTGGGCAACATCTAGAGAAGTGTAATATGTTGTAGACCACATGCCAGTGGCTGGTAGGGCCACAGTTCAGAGGGTCATTTTTCTGCCTGTGTTTTCTTTCTTCACTCTTTTCCAGAAGTCTGGTCAACTCTGATGACTGCAGAAGAGTTTTGAAGGTGGCCCACCTCAAATCAAAATAAATGTGTTGCAATGATACTCAGTGAAACTAAGCCTAAGGCAGAAAATCCTGGCTGAAAAATGTAAATATGAAAGTGTTTATAGGTCTCTCCAGAACGTTTATCTGAATGAAAATCCTACTGAGTTCCATAGAAGTTACATTCAAATGAAAATAGGGATGGAACTGAAGACACATTTCTTTTACACATTTCCACAGAAGTATGTTTTTAAAGTTAAATTCCCTCCCATTTTTTACAATAAAGCATTTACTTGATCAGAATTCTTTGAATGAAATCCTTAAAATAGATTAAGCGTTTCATTGCTATTGCATAGTTTGAACTACACAGGAAATAAAATATTTTTCTAGCAGCTTCTTCTAACCGAGCATTGCCCAACAATGGGCCAAAGTAAATTTCTAGTCAATACTGGAACAGCTTATGGATTAAACTTAATTTTCACATTTAATATGCACCTCGTTGACCAATTTTCAAAGATGAATTATCCTCAATGCCATTTAGCAGAAATGTTCATTAAATTCAAGCCAGTTCCAAATCCTGAAGTGGAAATGTAATTTGGGGCAGGTTTTCATTTTGCCAGGGTGGAGCAGACAGCCTTCAGTCCTCTCTCTACAGATTATGGGTCTTCATAAAAGTGATCTTTTTATCCAGAGCTCCAGTTTAAATAAAAAGCCATGGAAGATGAAGAAAGAGAATGTTGGATTAAGTGACAGGTTAAAGCTTGCCCAATCAAACATTTTTTGGAGTGTTAAGATTGCGGGCATGAAAATAAAGTTATTTTATTATTTTCTCTATCAAGCGACCGTGTCTTGATGTTGGTTGGCCTCTCATCTTAACCAAACTATGGTTAGGAACTGATTTATGGGAACAAACATCAAGTTCATCCATTTTCCCTCCACTGTAAACTTGACAATCAGCATCATCTCATTTCAAGGAGTATCATCATTCATACTAAGGCATTAATTATTTAAATTGATTTGTTTGGTTTATCAGCCACTCCAATCAATTGACACTGATCAACATAGACTCCCCAAATCTGTAATTTGGATTAAAACAAATACATCATAATCAAAAATTAAAACCCAAACATCAATATAAACAATCACGTGCACCAAGAAGCAAATATTCTAAAGAACACCATTAAAACAGATGTTCATCCAGAGAGGTAGTCCTAACAGCCCTGCCCACAAGATTTGATAAAATAGCCAAATCTGCATTGACTTTCTGAAGATGAGGGGACATCCCGATGTCCAGGGCATACCATATCTAAAGAGAGGAACAGCAATTGAAAATACATGTTTCTGTAGCCTCTGTAGGTAATAGCCACTGACTGAGGAAATGCGCAAACAGCCTGTTTTACTAGATCTTCCTGGGCAGGTAGATGTCTCCCCAAAATTATTGATTTTTAGTTTATGTCCTGCTATCACATAGTTTCAAAAAGCCTGTGGGCAATTAACAGCCATATAATTAATAAAATCAGCATAAAGCACAGATTACATATTCACAATATCAAATTGAACAAGAGTAAGAAACACATCTGAGCATAGCGTTCCTTGCTCCTAAGACTATGCAGAGAGGCTTTTGCTTAATGACACAGCACCATTAGGATGATGTAGTCCAGCCTTTCTTATGATAAGATTCTCAAGATCATAGTTCTAATATAGGATCTGAAAGGGACAAAGAGCATCTAGTTAAAAAAGTTAACTAGCATCCAATATGAGAACCTATGCACTTCTGTTATGAAATAAATGTGTTGTCCCTGCCACTGAAGTTTGCATTGCAGGTAGGACATTCAGTTGATAGGATCCAACTCTACTCTTCTTAAATTGTGTATTTCAGTGGCCAAAATGATCCTGTGAAAGTATCTGAGTGAAAGAATCAGTTTCTTACTACATTTTTTATGATTCACCACTGCCACTGCAAGTATTTTGGAAGCCACTGTAATGTAGTCAGTCAGTGATGATATTTGTTACGGCACCCTATTCCTGAAGTGAAAGGGAACAATGTATTTCCTCATTAAAAAATCCACTGCTTTCATAATCTGTCGGTCATTATAGCCACCATTATCATTAGAAATAATAAGATTTATATCTACATTTTCTGTGAGAGCTCATTTATAAGAAGACAGAGCAAATACGTAAAGTAAATGCAAAAAAAAAAAAAAAAGCAATATGCAGGTGCCAAAGTTGGCAAAAGCATTACTTACCAGGCTTGCCTTTGTTTTTGGATTTGCAAGCAAAGAACAAGAAGCAACAAAAATGGAAGCAAAATAGGAAAAAAAAAAAATCAAGGGATTTATTAAGAAAGCAGAAAAAACCTGAATGCACAATCAGTAACGCACAAAGCACAATATTCCTTTTAATTCCACAATGAACAATGAAGCAGCGTAATAATTTTGAATAGATGGATTTGCTTTCAGCTTTCACACAGGCATATGCATGAAGGAAGCAAATGAATGAATGAATGAATGAATGAATGAATGAATGAATGAATGAATGGCTCAACAAGGTGACAGTAGTTGTAGATACGGAATTTACTGAAAACGGAAATACTGTATATGAAATTCACCTTGACAAAATGCCATGTGCAAAAGAAATGGTTCAAAAAGCACTCATGCAATCCGTAGATTGAACGCAGTCAGCAACATTTTTCTCTGTTAAAGAATTATTTTTTTAACGGAGACAAGCATGCCATAGAGGTAGAGGCTAAATGAAGATGGAGGATTTTAAAGGAAATTATATAAAGGCTGATGCTATCTGAAAAGTACATGCCAAGGAAATACCAAGAGCTCTACAAACCCAGTCTGGCTAAGTTTCTGCCTCCTACTTAAATCTTTATGAGCTAACCCTTTTTACGTTTGCACCGGAGCCACTGAGTTTTGCATTATGTTAAGGTACTTCCTTAACTCCTTTTCTTCATTCTTTGGTCCAAATCAGCTTTCTCTAAAGGAGTGTTAGTTTAGTTCAGATTTATAAAGTGCTCAGAAGGATCTCTCCAGCTATAAGTATAAGGTATTATTTTTTCTTTTTTCTTTTCCATTGCAGGATGCCAATACTTGTTATATAGCACCCTTCAGTGCTATATATTAGATGCTCCTGCTGCATTTCTAACCAGGGACGAAGTCACACGCATAAAGATTAGTCAGAAATTACCAATTTCTGACTAATAACATAACATTTCATTTCCTTTTCTGTTAGCATATAAAGCATTCTTGCATATGAATATTTAAAGCACTCCAACTGAAGTTCTAAAAAAGGATTGGATTAGCCCAGTTCTGAACTTGGGGCACTGAATCTCAAAACTGCTATAAAACTATCACTCAGACTGTACAAACCTGTCTGGAAAATCAAATTCACATTTCATATATCTTGCTTTAGGCTAAGGCTGGGTAGGCACTGGCCAAGGGTGCCAAAGCTTAAGGGGCACAAACCCTCCTTCTGAATCATTCTAAAAATCTTTGCATCGACAGGAGATGGCACCATCAGTCAATGCTGACTAAGGGCGACACTCACCTAGGTGCCTCTCTAATCTCCAGGAGCTACCCTTTTCTATTCTCAGACTGCACTATCTCACTCAAATAAGTCACTGGTAGAAATAAAATTAACAATGATAAATATCTGTCTCTCCCCCCCCCCCCGCCCCCGGTATCTATTGAGACAAGCAGACTTTTCTACAACTTTCCGGTAGATTAAATCCCAGACTAGTTATTATTTTAATGTTGCTGTTGCATCTGTGCATGCTTAGTTCCTCCATGACACACCTAAAGAAAACTCTTCACATAGAAGCTCCCTTTGAGAGGAGGCGGATCACGTGATGGATCAGCCAGCTAGTTAAGTTTCTGAACTTCACCACAATCTGCAACAGAATGCTGTTTAGAAAGGACAGCTGAATCTACTCTAGGTGAATCTCACAAAGGTTTCATCTGGGTTTGCATCTTTACCAAACCATCTAAATTATTGCCACTGATGTACTGGAAATACATCCTTTTCCACATAAAAGGAATTACTTTTAGGTAACACACAGAATTGCAGTATAAATTCAATCTTTCCCTGCAGTGTAACAGTTTAATGTTAAATTTGTTTTTTAAAACAGTAGGAATGGGCTCAATTTAACATAGCTGCTCTGGTGGATTCTCCCAAAATTAGTGACGATTTAAGAGGAATCTTTAAAATTTGGAAGATTAAAATTATTTCAAATGTTAAAATTTGGAATGTTTTAAAAATATAAATCAGTTCTTATTTACAACCTTGGTGAATCATTCCATTTTTCATAATAGTACCAGGTCATAGAATATTCAAAACATGTTCAAAAATCATATTATTAAATTCTATCCCAAAACTTACTGCTTTCAATATCACTGATCATAGTATACTCTGGACCGGCTGCAAGGAACAGGAATAAGGGGCATGATGTTATGGTGGTTTTCCTTTCTCCACAGCCAGTTCTAGTTGGGGTTGGGGAAGAAATCAAGTCGATGCCCCTAATTTGTGAGGTGTCTCAAGCCTCGATGCTCTTGCTCATGTGTTTAATCACAAGATGAGGCCAATGGAGGAGGCTCAAGCTCAACCCAGCAAGACTGAGTGGCTCTGGGTACTCGCACTTTCTGATTCTGAGAACTCTCCACCTATGGTTCTGAATGGGGCTGTGCTCCCCCATTTGTGCACAATCTAGGGGTCTTCCTGGATTCTCAGCTCCTGCTCAAGGAGCAGGTGGCAGTTATGGCCAGGAAGGCCTTTGCACAAGTCCAACTTGTACTCCATTTGGACCCATCTCTGTGTTGAGAAGCCCTCCTTACAGTCACTGACATCTTGATCATCTTGCGGGTGAACGTTTGCAACACATTCTACATGGGGCTGCCCTTGTAGACCACTCAGAAACTATAGAGGGTCCAGAATGCAGTGGCATGAGAAGCAATGGGCAGGCCTTGCTATGCCTATGTAACAACTCTACTTTGTAAGCTGTACTTACCAGTAAGCTTCCTGATATAATTCAAGTGCAACTTAGTATCTAAACCTTACATGGCATAGTGCCTTGCTATCTGAGAGATCATCTATCTGCCATAGTATCTGCCTTTCCTGTGTGATCTGATATAGTTTCCCTTCCTATGTGCTCTGACAGAATCTGCTTGCTTTGGGTGCCATCAATCAAATAATGTCATCTGCTGGGACTTAGGAAGTAGGCTTTCTCTATCTCAGTACCTGCCCTCTAGAACAGTATCCCCCAGAAGATTCATACAGTTCCCACTGTCAAGTGAACCCTAAACCTTTAGCTCTTTCTTCAGGCCTTGGGTTAGGTATTTGGTGGCCCAGTCTATGTTGTGAGTGATATGGGAGAGTGTTTTTTTTCAATTTGTTCCCTTGGGGCAATGGTGTCCTTTTTTATATAATTGTTATTTTTTCCCTGATTTTTAATTTTATGAAGCTGCCCAATCACAATCAATCAATAGGGAGCTTTGCTCCAAACAGTGCCTTTATGGAAAACACTTTGACTGGGTACATACATGACAAGCAAATAAAACAATGCTATATATATATGAATGAGAATGAGAAAGTGGTATTTTGCATCAAAAAAAAAGTTTTATAAGCTCTTTTTTTATGATGGGAGAAAAGTTGGGTATAAAGAAATGTTAAACAGAAATAGTTAAAGCTTCTTCCTATCTCTTAACCTGGGGAAAAACTAATCTACAGAACTGAAATACAAAGGATGAGCAAGATTTAAGCAGTTCTGTCTCTTGTTTAGTATCTCTCTCACAAAAATCACACACACGTATGCATTATACATTAACCAGAATTCATTCCAGAGGCATGGAATTACAGAATAAAATAAATGCTATTTTTAAATGAAAGGGTCATGTAAGAATAAAGCCAGACAGATGGACAAAATTATGTTGCCCCCAACTCTGCATGAATCAGATTAACCTTGGACTCACTAGATGATTCTGCATTTGTGAAAATATATGGATATGTTAAAAAGGACAAAATTTATACAGCTTCCAACCACACTATAAACCCTTTAAACATTTTATTTATGTTTAAAATGTGTCTGCCACTCTTCTAAACCAGGTCTTTCCAAGGAGACTTACCAAACAAAATTCTCAATAATACACAATACAATGGAGTAATTAAAATGCTAGTAGTAAAAACAGCAGCCCAAGTAATTAAAAATGTTTCTAAATTTTACTTTGACATGACAAACGTTTATGAGGCGTAATACTGTGCACTTATTAAACTTATATTGATGGACATATTTTGATATCTTCTTACAATGAGTTAGGTACTAATAGTTTAATTAAAGTACAGCAAAGTCTGTGATTTGTTCTGAGAGGCCAGTGATGTCCAGAATTCTGCAATTTCCTAGGCCTAAATATTATATATTAGCATTTGTTAAATGTTTTGGTAGATAACTGCAGTCAAAGCAGTGACTGTCATACATTTAAGGTTCTTTCATAATTGGCTGCTGTCAAATAAATATATTTTTCCGGGCATCTACGTGTCTTCTTTACCTTTCCATTATTTATGAACAGTGCTATAATATGATGGGAGAAAATCCTACGCTGATTGAATTCATACATGTGGCATGACACATAGCTGTGGAATTAGAACATGTTTTTTCTAAAAAAAAAAAAAAAAATTGTAATCAATGAAACAGGCTTTCAGGGAAATAATAGTAATTTCTAAGAAGACTTCCAGGCATATGTAGGGACCTGCAGATAGCTTGCGATTCCTGAACTTGTTTCTTAAAAGCATCTTTGTTCACTGCACCACTAATTTGCTATTACTGTATATTCCCCTAACAGAATGAGAATAGAATATTTACTTTTCATGAGAGTAAATACCTACCTATCATTTGAGCAATTGTCTTCTCATACTCTGAAACGATTTTCCTATTAAAAGAAGAAAGAAGAATGAACATGCATCCACAGAAACTGATTTTTCTAATGCCATCTCTTCTGATAAAACCTTACAAACTAGCTCCAAAATGTATGACAGAATACAGTTGTTACAATATGGCATTTTTTATCCAAAGCTTAATTCATAGACAACTATGATACTGCTGAGTATTCCTGCCATAAAATAAGTAATTTACTACCTATACAGTAGATTGTGATCTCCACATTGAGACTTGTTTTCTCAGTTACTTCAGTAGAAGATAGATCTGCTATTCTGTATACTAACTTGGACCTTCTTACTAATGAAATTTTGAATTTATTTTGCTAGAAAGTGATAGCCGAGGGGAAAGACGATGGTTTCCATCTATTGTACCAGAGACCTATATTACATTAATTATCAATTACATCCTGAGTTTCAGAAATGGGGGGAAAAAACCCTGTTGCAATGTTCAAGTTCTATGAAATAGACATAAACATGACACAAAACAACAATTCAAAAGGATTTCCCTTACTTTAAAAACACATCCTATTTTTAATTTGTTCTCCCAAGGAGGCTAGCTGATTGTGATTTAAACAACTGATTTATGTATTTGGATTTTATAAGATTTTGTGAAAAACTCTGTGGGATTTTCAAACAGAAAGGGGTAGAATATGTATTTATTTAATCTATTTTATGTACTGATTTGATTTATATTCTGCTTTTCTATTCAGTAAGCACCCTTAAGGTAGCTCTTGAATACTACGCTGTCTATTGCTGTATCATATTGCTGATGCTATGCTGAATTTCTGCAAATAAATAAATACATAAAGAAAGGAAAACTATTTCCACATTTCTGCCTGTCTGATTATGTTGTCTATGAGCAACATAATCAGACAGACACCTATTTCAATAGACCTATTTTGGCAAGCTAAGAGTCTGGTATCAGCAATATGATGTAAAAAGATGACTTTTTTTTAACTATTTGAGAAACTTTACAAGTATTAATTCAGTGAAAATTACACAAACCTCATTTCCATTACTTCCCTCCTACTCTCTTCGTACTTCTCTTTCCATTCTGAAATCATTCTTTCCTTCACAACTATCTGTTACAGAAAGAGAAGAAATAAGGTTGCATCAACTTGAATAAGCACAAAATACTTTGCCACATAACAGCCTAAAGGTTGGTAGAAATGTATAGCAAAATTATAATTTTGGCATCCACAGGGAAGGCAAGGAGAGCAACTGATGAAATGCGCACGATGATGTTATCATACAAATGCTGTGACTTACATACTTGCGTCAGATGTCAGGATGCAAGTACATAATTGTGGCACATGTGATGTTACCATGTGCATGTCTTTTCTATGTCACCACTGTTTGCTGCAGATGCCACTTTTATAAAATCAAAATGTGTTGGCATTTCTCTCTCTTGCTAAGCTAAGGCAAAGCAAAAATACAAGCAAAAATTATACTTCTTCAAAATCAGTTTATTGCACACAACGGATTGCTTTGGAGTCTAGGAAAGGATTTTTTGAGCAATGCTGCATGCTGTGAACGGTGCTCATGCCTTTATGTGAATTCCATTCTACCTACCTAAATGCCTACTGAAGCATCTAACAATATTCTGAAATACACACAACTATTACCTAGACTATAAAAAAGGTCTAAATCATTGATTATAATCTTACTTCTACATATAAAACTTTGACCTAAGCCTTGCCAAAATGTTACCAAAGTGTTTTAAATACATAAACAAAAAATAAATGGCGCCCTTATGTAGTCTTCTGTTTGGCAAACAAAGAAAGCCTGAACAGAGATACGTAATGAATATTCCAACCATGCATGGGTTTCCTCAGCAAATAATTATTATCATAAATAGACAGGATATGCACCAAATTTGGCCAATCAACAGGACCAGGTTTCTATAACAAATTCTTGCTTTCTGTTAACCAAGGAACGCACAATATAAAGAAGATAAACTATGGAACACATTCACTGAGTTATGCTTAATAGATGGGGAAGAACAGATTCTTAAAAGGAGAACCCACAATGTTGGTGTTGATCAATAATTGGAAAATCATTAATTCATTCAAATTAATTATAATGATTTAATTGGAAGAACAAACCTCAAAGCAGCTGCAGTGGCAAAATGCCTACCACTAAAGAGGCAGGGCTCTCTTGATTAAAATTACCATTACCTCCTCCCTGGCAACTCTTAAGGCAGTATCCACGTCTTGCTGCTTATAAAGCAAAGTGGAGGCATTTTCTCCCTCTGAGCTGCTTATCCGGGAGTACAATGCACTTTTAGAGATCGAAGCATCCGCTGCAGGGTCTCTCTGTTTATTTAAAAGAAGGACAGACAGTTAGTAATACGTTCCAGTAGTACTTTGGTGAACTATTTCGAAGGAAGTCAGAAAAGAATGTGAAAGGTGAAAAATGTGGAATGAATGATGAATGAATGAAAATATTAATCTGTGTTTATCATTAAGCTATTTCACAATGGTAACTATTACATGTGTAGCAATGTACAGAGTACTGGAAATTCAGGGCTTTCTAGCAAAGCACCATCTCATTGAACTTCAGCACCAAAACTGATCAATAAGGATTCTATTCAATAAAGCTAGCTTGGAAAGAGAATATAGTTTTGTTAGCCTCTCCAACCTGATGAGTTCCAAATATATTGGATTCTACCTTTCAGAATTCTGAGCCAGCATGGAAATTATGGGCATTGCAATTTTTTAAAATTTTATTTTAAAATACAAACTACAAAACACAAAACCAGTAATAACAAAAATATAAAATAATTCAATCAGACAACCAAAATAAAACACATATAACTTAATCTCTACGTGCACCCATTACCCATGAGACTTATAACCCTCCTTATCTCTTTACTTTTTGTTATCATGGATTTTTATTATTAGTAATTTTTAATAAGCCCTCCTCTCCAAAAGGATGATATATATTGATCTGG